AAAATATGACAATTTTGCCCCTATAAAATAATAATTCAAAATAAAACAAAATAAATCAATTAAGGCAAAAAAGGGACCAATTAAGCTGACAAAAATCATATAAAAGATACCAAAATATATAAAAATAATTGAGTTTGTCAGGGGTCCTGAGGCTTGGTCTCTTTAAGGAATTAAGATAGCGTAACGGATTTTTTAACGCTGTTACTTCTTATTAAACAGTTTTTGATGTTGAGGACTAACACATTTGACTGAATAAATTTGAAGGATCTGCTAAAAAGGAAAATAAATATAGGGACCTAATTCAAAACTCAAGATAACTATAAGGACCACCAAATTAGTTTTCCCTTTATTTAATTCACAGTGCCTTTACAAAATGAGATATGTTAAGATCGGTTTACACTCTCAATTTTAACCCAAAATTAAATACATAATATTGTAGAAATCATAAAATTAAAAGAAAAGATAACAATAAAAGATAAATAAATATAACGATAAATGAAAATTAAAACAAAATATTTTTGTATATTTTCTAATAAAGGTGGATATAAAAAATCACAATTAACCATTATTCTGTATATCATAATTATAATTTTATTGATAAAATATTAAAAAAAATTCAATTAAATCCAACTGAAATACTTAAATTCAAAATTGAGGCCTACATTATTAATAAATGCATAATGAGGACATGTGGCCTAATTAAAAATATTTGAATGTTGTTAAATAATAAGATTGCCCTTCTTTAATTAAAAAGTAAAGTTGATTATTTTACCACTCTCAAGTGGTCCCTCATCTTTGATGATTAATATTTACAAAAAACATATAAATAATTTTTCAGTGTTTAAAATTTTGTACTCATAACTAAAATCTTAAAAAAAATCTTAAAAAAACATTTTAAATTACAATATAAGTAATATTTAAAAAAAAATATTTTTGAGGTTGTAACTATTTATTTTAATATTTGAAAATATTTCAGTTGGATCCAACATTACTTAAATAAATAAAATTGACTTAAATTATAAGAAGTGAAAATAAAAAATATTTTTTCAAAGGCTATTTATATTTGTAAGTTAAAGTGTTTTATTAAAATATTTTTTAAAGGTTAGAGAAGTGCTTTAGACAGCCATGGAAAAGAAAGTTGTGTGTGTCGCTTATATCAAAGTCATACAAGACATGTATAAGAGGGTTACAACTAGTGTTACAACGCCGAATGGTGAGACAAAAGACTTTCCTATAAGGATTGGCCTATATTAAGGATCATCTTTGAGCCCTTATTTGTTTAATCTAGTCCTCAATGTTTTAGCTGAGCATATCAAAGAAGAAATCTCTAAGTACATGCTTTTTGCCGATGACATAGTTCTATTGGCTTAGTCAAAAAAACAGATTATTGATAAGCTTGAGACATGGAAAAGAACATTGGAGTCAAAGGATTTTCGTTTGAGTAGAAGCAAGACAAGAGTATATGCATTGCATTTTTTATAAGAGACAAGCTAGAACAGGTTTGGAGGTCAGATTGGGAGATCAAGTCATTCTACAAGTGAAAAAGTTTAGATATTTGGGATCAATTATACAAAAAGATGGTGAAATTAATGGTGATGTTAATCATAAAATTCAAGTTGGGTGGTTTAAACGGAGAAAAGCGATAGGAATTATATGTGATTGGAAAGTATCTGATAAGGTCAAAGGAAAGTTTTATCGCACTGCTATAAGACTAGCAATGCTTTATGGTAGTAAGTGTTGGGCTTTAAAGGGACAATATGAACATAAAGTGGAGGTAGCCGAGATGAGAATGCTAAGATGAACATGTAGTCATGCAAGAAAAGATACGATTCGTAATGAAATTATACGGGGAAAAATTAGAGTGGCCATTATTGATGAGAAAATGGTAGAAAACCGTTTGAGATGATTTGGTCACATGCAAAGAAGGTCTTTGGATGTGCCTGTGAGAAGAGTTGATCAAACAGTATAGAGCCCTCTGAAAAGGAATAGAGGAAGGCCAAAGACAACAATGAAGTTATTGAACAAGATCTTTTAATTAATAATATATCCAAAGATTTGGCTTTGGATAGAGTTCAATGGTGCCATACGATATATGTAGCCGATCCCACTTAGTGGGATAAGACTTTGTTGTTGTTGTTGTTTTTATAGTAATATATACAAATTTTAAATATGAAAATTGCTTATATGTTTTTTGGTTTCAAAAAATAATCATAAAAGATAAGAGACCACCTGGGAGGAATAAAATAATCAATTTTTTAATTAAAAAAATATTTTGGTCATTTAACAACATTAGAAAAATTTTAGTTAAGCCTTATGGCTTTATTCGGAATTTATTAAAAATGCTGGCCTGAATTTAGATTTAAATATTTTAGTTGGATGTAATTGTGATTCTCCCTAAAATATTCAAATCAAATTCAATTATTTGTTTATTTTGCACGTACACAGACGTATTCTTTCTCCTGAAAATACTTCTCTTTATATGGTATGGTGGCATTGAAACTTTTTATAAGTTTCGTGGGAAAATATATCTATATTTAATACCCGACAATCACTTAAATATGATTGTCTCTATAGGAGGATACCGATACAGGGGGGGGGAACCGAATAAGTGGGAAATCGTGGGTGAACCGTTAGGAGATCTGTCCCTTTAGGGCAAAAAAAGTGCAGAAGCTAAAGGATCAGTCAAAACTGTTATGGGCTCATCTAATGGATCAAGCGGATGTCCGCAATCCCTACCACTTTCTCACTGCGAATCTGCGAGTAGTTACAGTAATCAACTGATCACGCTGCCTCGTCCCCCACCCAACAATGCATTCTTTAATTTAAGCCATAATTCACAATCTTCATTCCATACGTCCTTCAGGATAACTAAAAATCTCTTCGGCCGATACAAAACATGAAACAGAATATATCAGCAGATGCATCTGGGCTGCCTTGGTTATAAATTACAATCGAATCTTACTTAAAATTCTTCCAGATTTAACAAGTATGAATGTCTTGAGAACAATTGTAATAAAACTATCTCATCAAACATTTTAAGTTTACTAGCTGATACTTCAAAAGAAAATGATCAATCATGTGGCTGCTTCATGAACCTTTACTCCAACTGTTTTGAGGGAAATGGTATTTTTCCCACAACTGTCACATACAGTCCACAAAGTGAACAAAATTAAGGGGGTGTATGCTCTTCTCCGGATTTGTATCCCCTGAATTCATAAACCTGATACGTATCTAAATCAAAAAAATCATGTCCACCTATTTGCGTCACCATCTCTCTCTCTCTAAGCTCAGAAACGACTTGGTATCAAAGAATCCAAATTCGTTTTTCTCCACAGTACCTACCATCTTGGGAAAAAAGAGTGTATACCTACACACACACACACACACACAAACACATACTACTTCGTCCCTTATTATAAAATTCTTTTAACTAAATTACACGATTTAAGAAAACAGTTAAAATTAGTTAAAGGCAATTAATATGTAGCAAAAATAATTTTTTCTAAATATACCCCTATATATAAATGGGTAGATGTGAGAGAGTAATAGTGAGATAAATAAAAAAAAGTATTAAATGCATTAAACTAAGGATAAAATAGATAATAATGTATTAAATGTTCAGACAAACTCAAAAATAATCTTATAAAAAGAACAAATCTATTCAAAAAATTAGATCTTATAATAAGGAACCGAGGGAGTACACACCAAGGCCTAGCGAACAGCTTGAAGCTTTGGAGTTAATTACATACAGCATTGCAGCTTACAGCAAAATCAATGTTCAATTTGAAGAGCCTATGCAATACTTCCTATTTTTTCATGGGCATAATAATCTTTCCTAAATTAAGGTTTGTCAAGCTTTGAACTTAAAAGTTTCATTTCCTGTAATATAATTCTGACACTATAATAAGAAACAACTTGGAACAGAGAAACAGACGGGACTAAAGCTGAATATTTGTCTACGCAAGCTCGCAAAACGAAACTTTTTCTATTCATCCAAAAAAACAAAAGAAAAAGTAAAGGGAATTAATCAGCTCAATGGAGGAGTTCGGTGTGAGCATTCGGTTATTCGACTCAGTTAACATTGATAATCAAACTAACCAAATAACGGAGATATACATATTTACGGAACCAAACTGAAACTGAAATGCAACAACTAACCGAACTGAACTAACCGAAATAAATTCAGTTCGGTTAGCTAATTTATTCGGTTAGTGGATCTTTTTTTTGGCCTTTTTTTTATTCAAGCAGTATGAGTAGCCTCTACAACATAATAAAAGTCCAAACACAATCTATTTGAAGGCCTACATAAGATCCAAAAGAGCAAACACTAATAAAGAGGTCTGTGTTTAAAGTTTTACTAAAACTATATTATTGCTTCTCGTTTTCAACTCTCTGACCCCTTGCACTTATATAAGGGGAGGTTAGGACTTAGGAGAATCTTCTCTGGCTAGTATACCAATTTTGGCTAGCATACCAACTTTGATTTGTCATCTCTGCTTTATTTTAATTTTTTTATTCTTTTTTGGAGTATTTATTCATCGTTTTAATATGAGATCTGGTGCAGTCAATGTGGTCTAATTATGAAAATGGATACCGCCTTCTAGTAAAAGTTAATATATGACCTCAAAATTTAAAGCAACATTCAGAGATAGATTTCTATTTTTACGCACTGGTTTTGTTTTAGAAACTCTCTTTGCTGGAAATTCAACTTATTTGTTTTTCAAAAAATAACAAAATTTAACCAGTGTTGCTTAATTATTTGCCAAATAAATAATTTTCATTTTAAAATTGCGCATACATATATTAAGAAAGCCAATAAAAAGCCGGTCAAAAAAATATAAAAAATAGTTTTTGAATAAATTTTGGTTATTCATATATAACCGAAATATTTTAAGATACACCGAACTGAACACGGATAACCAAAATAACTGAAATAATTAACTAAAAAATAAAAAATAAAAACTGAATTAACCAAAATCCAATTAAGTTCGGTTTGGCATTTAGTTATAGTTCGGTTTTGCTCTGTGCAGATTCTCAACATCTTGCGCCCTTCGAAATTCTTCTTGTGCTTCTTCATCTTCATCGTCCCCACACTCATACATAGATCTGACCTGACAAAGCTGATCCTCCAAGTACTTCTGCAAGAGGCCCTTCTCCTCATCGCTACCGCATCCACTGCAACCTTCCTCGCATCGTCTCAGCCGATCATCGTCGCGGGAATCACGGAAGAAGTTCCGCCAGAGACAGCAGCGGAGGCAGAGATCTACTGCGCATCGGAAAGAGAAAGCGAAGAAGAGGAGGCAAAGGAGTAGAGGGGAGCAAAGCAGGATCAAGGGGTAACGAATCCGGCGATTGCAAAGCCAGGAGGAGGCGGCGCCGACGGCACTCACAAGGAAGGGCGGGACGATCGAGGCGGTGGGCGTCACAATTGTACGGCGGAAGGGACAAATATACAAGTGCATATATCAAGTATATGATATATATATATATATATCTAGATTTGATTTTCCAACACCATAGCAGGGATCTTCAAGCATCAAACAAGGAATCTCAAAGCCAGGTTTATTACGATCTTAAAGTTTGTGTGAACTATGAGAGCCAAATTATTTTCTATTACATTCTTTTTTATTCTAACAAATAATAAAAGACCTCGAAGAAGTGAAGGTAACAAGAGACCCATTGTTTATTCCGAAAGAACATTTAGAATGTGAACAATTTTGAAACCCCTGCATGTACTGATACACATATTAGATTCTTGTCTTTATCAAGAAATGCTCTTCTCTGTTTTGTGCAGTTTTTGATGGAGATAACTCCTGCAGAAGTTGATGAAAGTGCAATAATATTGCTCAATTGATATCCCATGTTATGGTTAGCATTATTCCACTTAATTAAATGCTTATATTATATACTCTTCGCACAGTTTTGAGTTGAAAGCTTTTCATGGAACATCACATTCCGGACAATATTTCGAATTAAAAGCTACTTGGGCCAAAATATTTTTTATTTAAAAACAAAAAGAAATGGTTTCAGAGTAAATAATAAAATGGTTTTCTTAAATATTTGTGGTGTTTGTCAATTTCTTTTTTAATAGATGAGGAATTTCGTGGACGATGCTGAATATCAATTTTTTATTATTTTTTTCACCACCAAAAGAGTAAAATAATTGAATCAATGTTTTGGAAAAATTTTACTGGCTACTCTAACTAAAATGCTTTGTGTCAATATGAGCTCAAGAAAAAGAAGCTAATGAGGATTTTGCAGACAAGCATGGGAGAAGCTGTCGTCGCCAAAGCTGAATGGAAAGACACCGAGTTGGGGAGCATGAGAAGAGGTGGTGAAGTCGCATGGAGTTTTTGGGAAGGAGGAGCCATGTGGAGCTGAGTTGGAAACAAAACTTTGCCACATTAAATTTACACAACATCAAATCCAGGAAATATAAAAATTCTATTTCAGTACAATTTCCACAAATTATTCATTAATTAACAAAATTAATAGTAATTAAAAGTCTTTTTAAAAGAGTTCAAACCACAACTTCGAAGATCTCATGAATGCACAGGAAATAGAATTTGGACTTGATCAGTGGTAGCATCTTTTCTTGAACATGTAACATGGCAACGGCACGCACAAACGCATGATGAGGACTGCGAGAGAAAGAATATAAGCTATGTGTGAAGCTACTAGTGAAGAGAAGAATGGAGTTAAAGGTAAATATATACATACCCTGATTTTGTTAAAATGGATTATCAGAAAACCCATTATTTATTCACCACTCAATCTTTGGTATATGAGCAAGTTCTGGCCAATCCAAGCCCTCTAATTTCTGTCCGTATCTTTGCTTTAAAGCAGAGCAACTATGGACATTAAAATGCTGCAATGATGTGAGACTCTTTATTGAGCCTGGAAGTGATGCCAAAGAAGTACATTAGGAGAGGTCAAGAGATTGCAATGATGTGAGAGTTCCGATGGACTCTAGAAGTAATGCCAAAGAAGTGCAATTAGAGAGGTCAAGAGATTGCAGTGATGTGAGATTTCTGATAGACTCTAGAAGTGATGCCAAATAAGTGCAATGATCGAGGTCAAGAGATTGCAATGATGTGAGTCTTCCAATGGACTCTGGAAGTGATGCCAAAGAAATGCATTCGGAGATTTCTAGATATTGCAATGATGTGAGACTCCCTATCCACTTTGACAACCATTTGCCACTAAATTCACAAATAATTAGTTCTCTAATTGTGTGAGGCGGCTCTAAAGCTTCTAAAATTATCTCATAATCATCATCATCATGCTCATATTCTTCCACAGATGAATGTGAAGATGCCTCCCAGCTTAAGGCTAGTCCTCCAAGGTATGACATGTGAAGCAGAAACTTTGATGACTCAACCTCCTTTACCTTTCTCCGCTGCCCTCTCAAATTTGTAATCTCCAAATTTCCCCTTACACAGATCAAATCACGTGGCTCAGTTATCCTTGCACCACCACCACTCCCTTCATCCACAATAATGTTGTCAGTGTTTAGAGATTAGTCAAACACCTCAAACCACATGGCATACATGGTAAGTGCCAATAACCATCCAATTCAAGATGTCTGAGTCTTACCAATCTCTTCAAGTCACTAGGAAGTTCTATTAAAGATATACAAGCATTAAGTTTTAAGGTTAGCAAGTTATACAACTTGGTGATTCCCCGTGGGAGTTTCTTAAGTTTAATATTTTTAGTTAAATCAAGATATCTTAAATGCTTCAAGTCTCCGATACTCTTTGGAATTTCCAACTTTTGCTTTACAAGAACCAATACACGTAAGTGCTTTGGAAGTGATGTTGTAGACCCACAAATTAGATTAAGAACTCTTGACTCAAGATAAATTCCAAATGTCCTTGTAGGAACAAAATTGTTCTCATTTTTTTGGAGTTGGCATTGCCAAGTGGAAGCTTCCAAGCATCGTCAAAATGAATTGACATATGACGAATCTCATCACCAAATTTCTCTTCTTGTATTCTTTCACTTGTGACAATGCAACACTCATTTTTGGTGATTGATTGTGCTAGATCATGTATGAGGTCATGCATCTTACACAATCATATATCACGAAGAAAATCTTGCACCACATCTTGAAACAAGCATCTCGACAACAACTGCTTGAAATACTCATCACCAACATCTTCCAAGCACCTATTTTTATCTAAGGGTTGAATGAACCCCTTGGCTATCCACAGTCGAATTAGTGTTTTTCTCTCAATCTTGTAATCTTTTGGAAACAAGGAGCAAAATGAAAAACAATTTTTCAAATAGGAGGGCAGATGATCATAACTAAGTTTAAGGATAGAAAATATCTTATTATCCTCAGAATCTATATTTACAAGGTCATTGTCCCTAAAATATGACCACTCACTCACTCCCAACTTTTTTGTGAACAACAGGCTACCAATGGTTCTTATTGCGAGTGGAACTCCAGCACATTTTTTCATAAAATCCTTTCCAATCCCTACCAACTCTTGATTATCAGGTTCTTTTCCATCCTGAAAAGCCACTCTACAAAACAGCTCCCAAGAGTTTTCAAAATCCAAATCATTTAAATTAAGAGGTGCAAGAGTGCCCATTATTTGTGCCACTTTCTCACTACGAGTAGCCACAGTGATCATGCTTCCCTTTTTTCCTTCCCTCAACAAGCTTTCCAATTCAAGCCATTTTTCACGATGCTCATTCCAAACATCGTCTAAAACAAGCAGAAAAAGTTTTCCCTAATCTTGTTCATTAAATCTTGTGTGACCTTTTCCTTCTGACGATTTGTTTCATTATCGTCAATGATATTTTGAGCTATTCTCTTAATGTTAAACTCACCCAATTCATCAGACACACAAACCCACTCCTTTAGGTCAAAGTGGTTTTTCACAGCCTCGTCATTATAGACTTGTTGAGCAAGTGTGGTCTTCCCCAATCCACCAATCCCAACTATGGCTATTACTGAAATGTTACTTTTCACATCAAGAGGGTTTAAAAGGATGTCAACAAGTTGCATCCTTTCATTGTCTCTCCCTACAACATCTTCCTTCCTCACAAACGAGTGGGTTTGCCTCCAATCATAAGACTCAATGGAAGCATTGTGTAAGAACCCTCTACCTCAAGACATTTTAACCCATCACAAAACCTCTACTATGGTAGAAAAGGGAAGTTGTTAATACGAGCTACCATAGTAGAAGGAAAATTTCATATTTTTAGAAATTGACTTTCAAACTCGGGTCGACCCGATAGACGTTGCATGCAACTGAAATAATCCATTTACATCTACTGGGCCTCCGAGCCTCCGGCCCGGGTAACACATACATCAAGACAGCCCATCCAAATAGGTTTTCAACCATATAACAAAGTTCCGTAAAACAATAGCAATGGCCTCCGGCCAACAAAACGAGTAGATAATGTATTCTCCAATTTACAATAAGGCCGGGAATCAGAATATTTCAAGAAAACCCTAGCTGTGGCAATATACAACTATCCATACATAAATAAAGCTAGAGGCCTAAAGCTAACCAAGCTCAAGCCTCCGCGTCTCTTCCCGAAGGCCCACGCCTAGAACCCTCACCTGAAAACATTTTAAACCACGGGGTGAGACAAAGTCCCAGTAACCAACCTTTCCAATACTAGGTACTACTAAATAGGTGCTCGTGAGGTGTCAAGTGGGGCAGTTCACAAATAATACATAATGATAGCCACAACAATTTATGCAGTGCAATGATGCAATCCCATCAACCAAATCCCTCACTTTGGGGGATTTTCAGGAGCCGAACCCGGCCTATCCCTCACTATGGGGGACGTAAGGAGCCATAAAGGCCTATCCCTCACTCTGGGGGACGTAATGAGCCCGAAGGCCTATCCCTCGCTATGGGGGACGTAAAGAGCCAACCATCATGCATTAATGGAGGCCTTACCACGTGGTAGTAACCGACAAAACTCTCACCAATTTCCCAATTAATGCATCATGCTCAAATCATAATCAAGAGTAATAATCATTTCACAAATAACCTCATTCAGTGGCATATCTTTCACAATTCCACAAATTCATTCATCATAAATCCAAACCCCACAAGACGGTTTTCCATTTTTATATACAACATATAATTCGAACACAATTACTATTTGGAGCACAAAACACAAATCTACTCACGATACCACATAAGCAAGTACTAAGGATTGGAAAGTGGTTACCTCTCGCCTGAGCAAGGAATAAAAACCGACGATGTGGCCCCGTGCACCACCAAGACTCACAACCGGTCTACACAAGCACACAAACACACAACCAACATATATTAGCTTTCAAACTAATAATGTGGCCAAAACAACACTTGGGGACACAAAATTCCTATCTCCCATCAAAACTCTACCCAACTCAAAGGGTATAACTATCAAAACAACACTCCAAAGTCCTCAAAGTCTATTAAAACATCAAGTCTCCTTCCAAGCATCAATTATAGTTCAAACCTCAAGGGCCCACTATAGGAATTCAACCTCCAACAACCCATTTGAACAATTAAGGTTCCAACAACAAATCTAAACCGATTAAACATCCAATTTAACCCTCCTTAACATAACCCAATTCACAAAACTCAAAATCAATCTCTACATTATCATCCTCAATCCCAAATCATCCAATTCCATAAACCCTAACTCCAAAATTCAAGATTCTTTAAACCCAAGGAAACTACACCGATTAAATACTTAAACTAACCCAATGCAATCAATTAAACCCAAAACAATCGGTCAAAAACCTCAGTTCAATCACAACTTAGAAAAACCTAGAGTTCCACTAAAAATCCTCAGATTTTCCAAGTAATTCTAAGAAAGAAAGAAGATTAGAGGTTAAAATCACTTACTTGAGGTAATGGATCCTTAGAAATGTCTTTCCCAAGCCTCCTCCACGAAACCCTAGCAGAGCTTCTCTCTCCTCCTTCAGATTTTCCAATTTTCGCACATCTGAACCCTCCAACGATTATATAGAATCGCGACCTTTCGCCGCGGCGAACTCCATCTTCGCCGCGGCGAACTAATCCCGAGAGGGATTACTCGCCTGAAAAACCGACTTCGCCGCGGCGAACCCCAATCTTCGCCGCGGCGAAAGCTTCCCGAGAGGAAACTCTCGCTCGCCCAGAAGAACTTCGCCGCGGCGTGCCCTTACCTTCGCCGCGGCGAAACCTTCCCGAAAGGGAAGCCTCGCTCACCTGAACAACTTCGCCGCGGCGTGCCCCTACCTTCGCCGCGGCCAAACCTTCCCGAGAAGACACTCCCCTCTAAAACCCCCGGTTCGCCGCAGCAAAGTAAACTTCGCCGCGGCGAACATACCCTGAGAGGGGTACGTTCACCTATACCTCCAACATACCTCAAATCCAACCCAAACACCCAAATCAAGATTAAATTGCTAATCTATCCTCAAAATCAACCCAAAAGAGGCTATTAAAACCTGATCAAACTTAGGATGTTACACATTGAAAGATATTTCACTCAAATACAAATTGTTCTTCTCATTGAAAATGCCATCAAGTTTCTTCCTAATAGCCCGAATTTGACAACCCATTTTAGCAGCACAAACAGTTCGATTGTTTTTGGAGAAGAATATGCGTACCTCCTTACCTTTTTTGTCTTTGGTCATTACTTCCCTGGCAACCTCATCAGCTGAGTAGGCATCCAACAAGTCTTCCGCATCAAACAGCACATCTTTTAGCTTTTGTAGCCATTCATTGATTAGCTGACTCTTCATGGTCTTTCTCTCAGCATCAAGGAGTACAGCTTTGATTGCAGTGACCATGCTCTTCATGCTCTCCAAATCATCTCGGAAGTTGCAAATGAGATCAAGCTCTTTAGAGGCCAAAGAGCCCAATAGCCCAATGACTCTATCAGCAATGGCTTCCATTGATTAATTCGAAGGCAAATGCAATTGATGGGTTTGTATAAGGAGGGTAATATGGATAATTGTTGGGTGATATATGATAATGTACCTCCCACAATGAAGCATATACAAGTATATATATATAGCCTTGTTTTGGGTGCTTCTTGAGAGTAAAAGAATATTTGATGCTTCTGTCATCGAACAAAGTTAAAGATCAAATTCTTTTCTCCACTTACAATAAATAAGTGATGCAAGGCTACTAGTTAGAGAGAAATGAATAAAGTGATTCTCATATATGCTTTAAGAAATAGCTCCATACAAGTAACCTCTGTGGGTATTCTATCTCGAACAAGTTACTAAGAATTATAAACTTTTGACAAATTTTAGTTAGTCCAGCAGAAAATGTCAAAGCTATAATAACACTTCTAATTAGAATGTCATTGGAAAGCAAACGGTTAGTTGATTACTTGCATTGTAAAACAACTATATTATTTACAAGGAAATTAAACGTTAGTTCTGTAAAACCAGCAATGGGATTAGGTGGAAAGAAAAGAAACAACGAAGAGATGCTTTACATTTCCCAAAGTGAAAAGTGGGGACAAATACATGATTATCTTATTCGAGGAAATTGCATAAATTCTAATACTTGTCTTACTCATGCAAGTTTCAAACATTCTAATGATAGAAAAATGGTTCAAGAAAAACATATCAGATACTTGTGAAGAGCTACATCAATTATTAACGTCTGGTTAATAATAATATTAATTATTAATGGAGGAGAAAAGGGTAACAGAAAAAAGACTACATAAGAGAAAAAGAGATATAAAGAAACTACAGAGACTGAAAGAGAAAACTCGACCCTAAATTTATTCAATTCATAGGTACCTTACAAAATGAGATTAAAAAAACTATATATAACCTCAAATTTAATCCAAAGAATTAAATACATAATATTGTAAAAATTCTAAAATTAAATGAAAAGATAACAATAAAGGATAGATCCAAAACGATAACGATCAATTAAAATTAAAAAAAATATTTTCAAATCTTTTCTAATAAAGCTGAATATTTGAAAATCCTAACAAATCATTATTTCATATCCCATCAATTATACTTTTATTAATACTGTTAGATTTTGGGCTTGGATTCGTTCTTAATGGGTCGGACTATTTGACTGGATATTAAGAGAATATACCAATCAAATATCCAAACAAGTGATATGTTTGACTCGGTCAAACATTCTGAATCAAATCTAATCGGTTACGATATAAATTTAATTAATTTATATTATATAGATTAAACATATATATATTAGAGAGATATATATTTAGAATTGATTATGTTTGATTTTGAATTTGGATTCAAAATTCATAATCTTATAAGTCAAAGATATATCTGAATATCCAAATTCAAATTCAAATTGATAGGCTTAATGGATATTTTGGCTTTTCAAAATATCCCATAGCCAAAGCTATAAATTGAGGCCTCCACCCATTGGTTCAACTCATCTATCTCTCTCTTATTCTTTCTTGCAAAGAGGTGCTTGTTGTGCACTCAAAAACTTAGACTTTTATAATCTAACTTGTAGCATGAGCTTAGAAGATTTAACCGACTCGACCTGAGATCTGACCCAATACATTTTCCAGTCTCTCTTTTATTTATCTTACGTTGGCGTCAAAACCCTGCTAATCTTGAGGCTTTACACACACAAACGTGTGTGTATATTATTTGGGCTCCACCAGATTTTTTTGAACCTGCCACTGTCGCATCTGTTGATTATCTATGTGCGTTTATTTGCATCGTTCATGTGCTCCATGCTTGACTTGCAACTTTGATTCAAGAAACCCACTCTAATTTTTTTATTTGAAACCCAAAAACAGTGACTGAATTGCCATAAGGTTCAAAACACTATGCAATCTTCTTCCATCAAAGTTACGTCGTCAGCCGTCTGAATTTTTTTTTTGGGCCTTTAAAAATGTGTCTTTTTAAAGAAAATGAAGCCATACGATTGTAAAACTCAAAGAGATGATTCCATAGACATCCAAAACGCGTAAAACGGGACTCAGAGGTGAAAGTTATGCAAGAATGAAGTGACAGGTCGCGACGTGTAATATCCTAGTTTTTATTACTAGTATTTAAAT